TATATATATATATATATATATATATGATGTTCTTTTCTGCCTAAAGGTCAGTTGAGATTGTCCTTCATGTCCATAGGCATGGTCCAAATGGTGGAGAGGCCACAGTAGTCCTTTCTGAATGTCAGCACCCAAACCTGCCCATTGGCCTAGCCCTTAATTTATGCACATATGTCATTTATGCCCCAACCTCTGGGGCTGCACAGTCGGGATCCTACCTTTTCTGAGGTATAGCAGCCGCAGTAGTGAGATGAACATCAAAGCTATCGGACAAAGTCCCACCCCTCTAGTGTGAATCAGCCCACATTTATTTTGCATAATTTTAGGCTATTTCTAAGACAGTCATCTTTCAGTTTAACAAGGTAATGCATTTGCATAAGTACATTTTTTCTTATTCCTAGACTTTCTTTAAAACACACACACACACATCCCCCACATAATACACATCATGGACACACATACTTCTAATGTTTTTCTTTCATTTATCCCGGAAATTGAACTAGGGATGCCCTATCTCTATTCTTTCTGCTCTGTACCTGGCACTAATTATTCATTAGTATTAATAACTAGCATAGTCACTTCTCATCCAGTCAAGTTTGTTCCCTCCAGATCAGAAAGAACCCTTGTGACCAACATCAAAATTTAAGTTGAGGTATAGGTACGATTCAGAATGAGTTCTTTTTCTCAGAATTGTATTGTAAGGAACCTGTTCTAACAGGCATTAAGGTAACTAACTTTGGTTTCAGTAGGAATCTCACATAATCAGAAATGAATTTGACAAAATTCAATCTATTCTGTGTAAACAAGAAACACCTTAGAGAAATTGAATCTCTTTGAAGGACTGAAGTAGGAAGGCTAAGAAGAAGGTACACCTGATTAGCTCTTTCTTTCACTATAATAGGCATCTGAACCTCCCTGGCACAGCAGGCAGAATGAACAGAGGCTTTTCAATTAGATAGACCTGCATTCAAATCCCAGATCTGCCTCCTACTGGCTTTTGACCTTGGGAAAGTTGCATCACTCTTCACCAGAGTTCCAACCCTGAGTTTCATTCTCTGTCAACTGGAAATGGAAATAGCTACAATGGTGGTGAGGGTTACATGAGATGATATTTGCTCAGTGCCAGTGGTCAACAGCAGATAGCCATTATGTGATTACAATTACTGGGGGACCTTTTCAAAAAGAGGGTGGCCAGCAGATTCTTAGCCATGTTGAGCTTGATTGTCTGTGAAGGCAGAGGCCTGGGCGTTAGCTGTGTAAGTAGACAGCTCTGCTTCTTATACGTCTTGGGTTGCAGGGCAGGTCCCCAATTCAACTCCTCCTCCATGTGAAGCTACCCCAATTCCACGGGCCAAACACCATGGCAGAGGAGATATTATGTTCAGAAGTCCTGCTTTCACTTTTAACTATACTTCATTGGTAAGACAACAATAACGTCAGCTCATTAGTAAATAGACAACACTTTAACTGGAAATTACTGGACGCTATTACTTAGAATGTTCAAGAAAAGGGCTCTAAGTGTCTCTCCATTTAAACTAAAAATAAAATTGCCAAGAGCTTCTATTATGTGTTGTCTTCTTTAGAAGTGAATACAATGCTTCTAGCCAGATTTCTTTTAGATTCTATCTTGTTTGTTAGAGATTTTTAGATAGAGCCAAATTTGTGGGTTTGCCTTAACATAAATACTCAAATGATTCATAAGGATTTTTTACTGGGCTTTCACTTTAGAAACTAATATGCATGTGTTCTAGAAAAAACACTAAGCTTTGAGATTAAATCTATTATAAATTAGGTAAGTGATAAATATGAGAATTGTGCATGATAGTATATGGCATTCCTTGTTATAAGCTTATATCCTATAAGCTGATGTTTTTAGATGTGTAAGAATATAAAGCAAACAGAAAAGAAATACTGCTGAAATTTAACTTCGTTTTTTGAACTGTCAAGAGCCAGGGAATTGCTGGGCAAAAAATCAATAGTGTCTCATTACCTCTTTCCCTGACCCCTTTCTATCTGAAACAATATCTCAGGTTGTAAGTCTTTAATTTAATTCTCATGTGACAACAGTCTCAGGTTTGCAAAGTTTTCTAGATTAGTAATACAAGCTCAGCATCATTTGGTTTATGAATATAAAAAATTAAAATGCATGTCAAAGGCAAATGAAAGCCTTTTATTGCATCTGATATAACTTACATAATATGTTCTGATAGTCCTTGTTATTCCTTCACATTTACATAATTTTTGTATATTTACAAAAGTCTTCAAGCTTGCTTTTATGATGTTTCTCACAGCTGCCCTATGAAATAAGTGTAGTAGCTTGCTTTAAAGCAAGGTGCCAGAGGAATAGAAAAATGAAGTGTTTCCCAGAGCGACTCAGCAAAGCAGCTGATCCAGATTGCAAATTCCTGGTCCCTGCGTCCCTCCCTCATTAGCCAGCAGGTACCAGCTCCTTTCATTTTTTTGCATCCTCAAACACTACTTTTCCTCTGCTTATTTTAATGAGGCCCCTGAGACCTTCTTTTGGCCAGCTTTCCTACCTCTTCACCACTTTCCTAGCCCCTAGGAAAGCTTTTCTTTAAGCCTAGGGAAAAGTTAGTTTGCTGATACTTCTTCCAAACTGGCCTGCTGCCGCAACCACATACTGATTTTCCCTTCAGAGGTGTCGATTATGTACCTTGTGTGCAGAGATTCAACATAGCCACTCTCCAAGACGCAATGCTAGGCTCTGAACCACATTCCACCAAGTCTTTAGAGACCAATACCCACTTTGACTTGCTAATATAGTTTTATCCAAGGGTTATGGGTGGGAAAAATAAAATGAAGAGAAAAAATAAAAAACGACGAGTTCGTGTCCTTTGTAGGGACATGGATGAATCTGGAAACCATCATTCTCAGCAAACTGACACAAGAATAGAAAATCAAACACTGCATGTTCTCACTCATAGGCAGGTGTTGAACAATGAGAACACATGGACACAGGGAGGGGAGCATCACAGACTGGGGTCTGTTGGGGGGGGGCAGAGGAGGGACAGTGGTGGGTGGGGAGATTGGGGAGGGATAACATGGGGAGAAATGCCAGATATAGGTGACGGAGGATGGAGGCAGCAAACCACACTGCCATGTATGTACCTATGCAAACAACCCTGCATAATCTGCACATGTACCCCAGAACCTAAAGTACCATAAAAATAAAAAAAAATAATAAAAACACAGCTAAACAACAACAACAACAAAAAAGACCCAAGTCAGTGGAATTGTATCTTGCTCTTCACAGTGCTGGATATGCGCTAGCCAGTAGAGCTACCTGCTGAAACACAAGTTTTCTTGTACACCTTCGGTACTGAGAATCCACGAGTCCCGCCATCCTAATCCTTCTTCACCGTCCCTCATCACCTCTTTGGCCATTATGTGGTAGATGCAAGAAAGACATTTCTTTTTCTTCTAACACGTTTCCCATCCTGTCTTACTAGTATAGTTACTGAGGTAGAAAGATTCAGATCTTCTTAAGCAGTAATTAACTCACTGGCATTCATTATGAATCCCTTTGAGACATGAGCCTATATTGAAAAAATAAATAAATAAAAACCCAGTCTTTGTAAATTAGATCCCAAGTTCTGCTGTCAGCCCAGTGTGTATTATATACTGGTGTAAATAATCAGTGCTCTGTCCAGCCCTCGAAACTGTTAAATAAATCACACTTTTTTATGAACTTACAGCAAGACTTACTTGGTAGCCTCTTACACAATAATCCTTGACTAATGTAAGCACTAGGGATTTATAATACTACATGTACTTTTAGTGATCTTCTAAAATATGTCTCCCTCCTTCCTTCTGAAGACATGGAAGGTGATACTCATCTATCTAAAACCATTTATCCAGTTCTCAAAATAATCAGGTATCGTGCTGAATTAAAACCAAAATTGCCTGGAGTATTCATAAAATCAGGTAGATATATTTAAGAGTATGATTTCCATTTCCTTTTCTAAAAGAACTTAGAATAGCCTCTTCATGTTCTTACATTGGTTAATCATGTATAAGAGATATGGTTTCATCTTCTTGGTGATTGTGGAAGTGCTGAGCATTCCAGGTCATAATCCTGACGCTTATACCTCATGGTATAAGACATGTGAATGCAGTTAGGAGCTTTAGGCTCAAAAGTGCTTAAACTAGCAAATAACCTAGAATATTTGTGTTTATTTGTTCATTTTAATCAAATGTCTATGATAGTTATATTTGTTGAATTTGATTAATTGAAATTTTAGATGTCTGGAGTAGAACAACAAGATGCTATCAATATATGCTGCGATTTTTTACTTTATTTCTTTAAATATCTATGTAAATACAAAATCTTCCAGTATTTAAAATACCATATTCAGAGATCAGGTTAAAATGTTTTCAAGATATCTGGTGAGCAAACAAAAGTAATTTGTGTTCAAAATTCTGGTTACAATAGTGGTAAGAAAGAATGCTTCATGGTAACACACTTCCACTAAATTTGAAATAAGAAGAAAATCACCCATCATAGAGTTTATTAGGTAATAGTCACAATAAAAATTCCTGATCATAGTGTTGTGGAAGGAAGACAGTTTTTGCCATTTAATGAAATCATTAACTACTTTGCATTTACTAGCTTTATTTCGCAAATGGTGCTCAACGATACCAGTTGATAGTGATAACATCCATCTGTAGTTAATACATATAATCAACACATGTAGGCAATTTGCTTAAAGCCAAAGAACACATATGAGTAATTGAGGCTAGGCTAACACATGAACTCTTGAGCTCTCATAAAATCACATTTCCTGGGCCATTCCTTTTGCTTGCTCTCTATGGAAAATGTTCCTGTACATTCTAGCCTTAGTGAGCCAGTTTATCACCAATATTCAGCACTACTTTGACCAGCTATATTATTTATATCTTGTGAGTCTATGGTATTCTTCCAGAATTATGTGATTATAGTTTGATATAAATTATAAGATGACCATGAATTATTCACAAAATCATTGATAAGCCAACTTCCTTTCCACTTTATCTCTATTGTACGTACATGTCTTTTTATCAACTTGGGTGTATTCAAGGGATTTTGCTCCAAAGTATCCCTTAAGACCAGCAAATGGGTTGGAGCCAAAGTGGGAACAAAAGCTTTGGGTGCTGTTGTAGAAAAAACATATTCACAAAATCATCACCAAACTTGACCATTTCTCTTCACTGGTGTATATTTTATTTTCTAACTTTCTTATTTGCAGGTTTTACTCTGCTAGAAAAATGTATTTCAGAGGGAAATAAATTGATTAGCTATCTACTTTCCTATAAGGATGAAGTCTCCTTGTTTTTCTACAGATTGATCACTATGTCATGATGTTCCACATTCTTTTTTTATTATTATTTTTATTTAAGAGGCAATAAGCAAGACATAATTTCTTTCAAGAGGACAGTGATCATTCATGGAACTGAATAATGATCAATGAAATGATAACCCAAGGCCTGAATAAACATAGAATTAGAGCTAGAAAATGTCAGTGCTATCACTTCAAAAGGGCACAAGTGTCACTAGACGAGGCTGTTATTTTTCATTTTGCTCAATGGACTTATCTTGAAATTCTCCAAAAATTTATTTAATTCCTACTAAGAGGTGTATGTTGTAAATAACAATAATGATATAAAGTGCTTGATAATGTTAGCTGTAGTATTCAGTATGCCACTTACTGCATTTGACCCTTCTGGGCACTTAGAAAGCCCTCACCTTCTAAATTCCTCTTGTCATCCAAATGCTGCCTAGTGCTAAGAAAAGATTTGATGGCTTCCTTTATTCACTTGATATCCTCTTTTTTATGGTACATAAATGGAAGTTCTAAATGAATGCTAGAGCTTCATACTAGATTCTTATAAATGGAGTCACAGATTACCTCCCCTCTGCCTTAGTCACAAGATTGACTCCAGGTGTACCTAACACAAAGAAACAATGTATGCTGGCCTCTAAAGATACACATATATACTTAGTAATTATCCACTTTAGTGGGCATTAAATTGCAGGCAAAAAGTGGAAGAAAATGCACATTTTCTCCTAAATGTCCTTCATAGATTGCATCTGTAGCTTCTTTTTCTATGTTTAGCTCTACATGAATGATTGGCATAACTCTTAAAATGTAATCACTGCACATAACAACTAGGTTGTATTTGATTGCATCTTCAGAATAATGTTAAAAAAGTAAAAGGCAGATGTTATTATGTACTTTCCTCTCAGGCTGGTTCCAAGTTTTTTTATTCAACAATTTTATGTAAAAGGCAATCACAGAATAGAAAAATGTAGCACGGTATCTAAGGTCACAGGGAGAGGGTGATGTGAATCTGCAAACAGCACCCCATTCTTGCCTCTCCGGAGGCCGAGGGCGGTGTTATTAAATGAGTAGGCACAGAAGAGGGCTCATTTTCCCTCCTGACCACCTTCTTGGGGTCCCTGTCTGACCTCTGTACACTGGGCTTTTAGAAAGCCGCAGAGATGACTACAAGACCACATTTGTTTGTATCTTTCAGTCAAATAGATTCTTCAGACAGTCTAAACACTGCTCTTTTGTCTATCAGAGAACAAAACTACATTTGATGATTCAATGATCATTTTTAATGTACTGAAGAGAAATTTTGTTAAAAGATGGCCATCATATCAACATGGGTTGTTTAAATAACCTCATTTTTTTCTTATAACAGAAAGAAAGATTTCTTACGTACCTTATTCATGCTACAACCTGATCTATAACCCTGAGCTAAGAATTCTGAGTGGCATCCATCTATAGCATCTGAAAGCTTTTGCCAAAGACATGTCAGAACTCCTTTAAGGAACAGATCACCCCATGAATTATTGACTTACTCAATCTCAGTTACCTCACAGTTAAAGTATGCCTTCATGATCTAATGGGAGAAGCTGTTCAGTAAATGCATGGAATAGTTCCCATTGCTATCAGTGGGTGTTTCCCAGAACTTCTAAACTGTTTCTAAACCCATAGCCACATGGTGTTTTCAAAGTTTGATTTACAAAATAAATAGACATCTAAAAGAGTTTCTATTCCAAAGCTTTTTTTTCTTCTTTTTGGAGAAGTTATTAGATTTGAATAGATACCTCAAAGCCATTTTTGTCATCAAAATTCTTCTTTCTTAGGTCTAAAATCCTGAAAGGATCCTTGAGAGGCCACTACACTACTTCTATGTTATACTGGAAGTGAATAATCTAAGTTACTATTGCTTTTTGATAAACGTTGCCCTCCCCCACCAACCCCTCCTCTCTCTCTCTCTCTCTCACTCTCTCTCTCCTTCTCCTATTTCTCTCTTACTTGGTTGAATTACCCCAGTGGCAGAGAGAAAAACAACATTCATTGGCCTCCAGGGAAAGTGGCCTCGCTGCAAATGAAGGGTGGATAGAGGTGGTGAACCAGAGGGCATGCTCTGTGTTGGCCACAAAGGCTCTGGCCTTGTGTCATTTCCCCAGAACGTACCCTGCCGATGCCTGGCAGTGGAAGATCAGCAGTGAAGGGCAGGCAAGAAGCAGCTATGCGCCAGCTTTTCTTTGGAGATACTACCAAAGGGGAACATTTGAGACTCATTCAGCGCTTTTTAAAGGCATTTTTAAACTATATATTAAAGAACCAAACGAAGATATGGCTCACTTATGAAGTAAACCTAGTTCTTGCCTTTTGCTTTAAAAAATTCTTCCCTACGCTCAGAGAAACTTTTTAAGTGCCCACTCTGTGGACCCTTCACTTCATGTACAGGATGTACAAAACAATAGCACAGCAGAGCAGGGCACTGACCATGGCACTAGACTGCCCAAGGTTCAAATTCGTTTCTACCACGCGCTGCTCTATATTCTTGATTTAGCTTCTCTAGTAAATGAAAACTAAA